TCCTCTTGTAGATCATTTTGTAACCAATTGCTTTGACCCTAGAGGGCAAGTCTACGAGAGTCCAGACTCCGTTGAATTTCATTGAGTCCATCTTGACTTTCATAGCATTTATCCACTTCAAGGAGTCTATGTCTATCATAGCTTCCGTACAAGTCACAGGATCTCTCTCACTGTCTATAACTTCAATCAAATAACTTTCTTGATCATAGACAAAACGTATTGGAGGTTTAAAAGCCCAAGTAGATCTTTTAAGTTGGGTGTTGCTATCTAGAATTTATGGATTATTTCCCACTACTCCTGAGCTCTCTTCATCAAGAACAACTTTTTGATAATGATTGTTCAAGATGTAGTTTTCCTCTAAGAAGTGGACATTTTGACTAACAAAAACATTTTCTTCTCATAGGTCATAAAAGAGATACCCAACATAGTTCTTGGGGTAGTCTACAAATAGGAAACAAATGGTCTTGAATTCCAATTTGTCTGTACATGTCTTTTTGACGTGTGCTAGACAACCCCATATTTTCAAGTGTCTAATACTTGGTTTTTTGCCAGTCCAAAGATCATAAGGAGTCTTAGGAACTGACTTGGTTAGAACCAGGTTTAGCACGTAAATCGCAGTCTCCAATGTGTATCCCTAAAATGATATAAGTAACTCCGAGTGGATGAGGAGTGATCAAACCATATCTAATGGAGTCTGATTTCTTCTCTCTAATACACCATTCAATTGTGGTGTAACAGAAAAAGTCAACTGTGATATAATCCCATTATCCGTTAAGTAGTCGCTGAATTCATTAGAGAGATATTCACCTCTTTAATCTAATTGAAGGGTTTTAATTCGTCTTTCCAACTACTTCTTGACTTCTTGTTTGAAATCCTTGAACTTTTCAAATGATTCAGACTTATGTATCATTAGGTACACGTAACCACATCGATAAAAGTTATAAAATAGACATGTTAGTTGTGTATCCTAACATTCATGGGACCATATACATCAATATGTATAAGGTTAAGTGTGTCTGTAGTTCTTTCAGAGTTACCTGTAAACGGCATTTTTGCCATCTTTCCTTCAAGGCAAGGCTCACAAGTTGGTAAATTTTCTATAGCGAGAAAATCTAGAGGACCATCTTTTACCAATCTTGTGATATGTTCTTTATTTATATGGCCAAGTCGGTAATGCCATAGGCATGTGGGATTAATCGTTTCTCGTACTCTTTTCTTGATATGTGTTTCGGTGTTGTTTTCGGTCACATTTGTTTTTAGAGAATGGTGGAGTACATAAAGACCATTCTCAAGTTCTCTATGAGTAAGGATTTTGTTATTCAATTTTATTATAATCTTGTTACTGAATGAAATAGAATAACCATCCTTACATAACTTAGAATTAGAAATCAAATTTCTTCTAAGTTGTGGAACATAAAGACAACCTTAAGGCTCAGTTTGGAAGAAGTACAAATACGAAATTGTAGAGTGCAAAATCTTACATTTTTTATTATTGTTTATGTATTTGTAGTGTACATATTTGCATTTGCACTCCTTCCAAACTGAGCCTAAGGGTAATAATCCCTTCTTTAAAAACTAAATCTTCTGATCCTATAGCAACAGCTGCAACAGTTGCAGATGTACCCAAGTAGGGCATGACCTCATCATCACTTAGCCATCTACTTTCCTTGAACCCCTACAAATAACTACATGCATGAATAAAAGCCCCGGAGTCAATACACCAAGAGATAGAAGTGACCAACATATTGGTCTCTATGACTAGATATTCGAAATTACCTTCTTTCTTCTTTTTGAGGGTTTTCAAATACTGATGACAGTTTATCTTCCAGTGCTCAGTTTCTTTGTAAAAGTGACATTCATCGGATGACTTGGCTCTCTTCTTTTTCTTCGGTTTGTTTCCCTTTCTCTAAGGCTTCTTCTTGCCCTTTCATTTCTTCCTACCAAAGTTGCCTCCTTCAACAAGCATGGCTACTGGCTTGTCCTTCTTAATCGATTCCTCAGTTCTCTACAACATATTGCTGAGCTCTTGCAACCTAACTTTTAGCTTGTTCATGTTGTAGTTCATGACAAACTAATTAAATGATGTGGGCAGAGAGTTTAAGACAACATTAGTTTTGGTGTCATCATTAAGTTGAGAGCCAAGAGCCTCTAGTTCATTGATTTAACCTATCATCTGCATGACATGGTCATGAACCGGCTGGGTCTCAGTCATCCTCATGGTCATCAATAGTTTGAGGACTTTTTGTTGTGCAGAACGATTTTGCTTCTCACACATGTCTTTTAAACTATCTAGGATATCTTTATAGATATCGATTTTGTCAAACTGTCTCTGAATAGAATTATCTGGTGAGGCTATGAGGTAACATTGGGCAAGAGAGTTCTTCTCTTCTCATTCTTGATACTCCCTTCTTGCCTCAGAGGCTCTATCACTAGATGTTTTGTGTTGAGTTTTTGGCAACTTTTCCAATTTCTTAGAAGTGAGCGCCAAATTAAAGTTACGAAACCAGCTTGCATAATTAGGTCCTTTGAGTTTGTTATCATCTAGCAATTTAGCAAATTATTCGTGTGCCATTTTTGACAAAAAGTACAAGTTAATTAGTCAACGACCCTATTATTGTTTCATGTTATTTTCCATAGAAAGGACTTTTATCTATGTTCCATCTTCATTTGTTCATCTTTGAGATTTTCCTCTTATCTTAGTAATGGGGATACTATTCATGTTCCTAAAAATGTGGGAAATCACATAGGTGCATGGGGCCAACTGTTTCAGTTGCATAACCCCATCACTTTTCATGAAAGATCGAATCCACCCATCTCATGAGATTTTCCTTTGGCCTCTATTATACAAGGTTCATTGCCATTTTAAGTTAGACATTTCCAATCGGTAAGTGTTGACCCGTCATATTGGTAAGCCTAAAAGTACTGTTAGAGAGTCTTTCGTTTTAGGATAGGGCCCTCCGACTAGTATATGGTGCCCCTTTCATCCAATGAAACAATACCATCAATTGTTTCAAGGAAATGAACAATCCAATTTTATGGTGCATCCTCGCCCACCAATTCAGTCAGCTTTCATGTTAATGACAAAGGGCCTTTAGAGATGCTATCTTATGATAATCCCTATCTCATAACACTTATATTATCTATGAGTGAACAAAATATTAGTCCCTAGGTTAGCTTTAGGTCTTACCATAGTGGTTCCCATCGACTTTCATAAAGTTAGATTCAAAGATGACCTCCATTTTTTTTTCTGTGACAAAGATCACCTGAATTTTTGAGTTTTAAAATTTTGGCCATGACTTGCTAACGATGTTGATGGTGAATGTATTAATTTGTAACCATTCTAAAGCAAATCATTCTCATAGCATTTTCAAGAGAAATATTGCTAATAAAAAATCAAGAGTTGTGTTGGCATGATACACTTCCATATTGGGTCATATTGTGCAATATTAGTGGAAGTGGATATGGTCCGATACTCATCGATATGCTCTCAATGCCTAGTTTGACAAAACTATGTATTGATTGTTTTTAGAGTGTTTTTGTACTTTAATAAAAATTGAAAATTCTAATTATAAAAGATGAAATAGATAGTTTAATATTTAATTTTTCCCAAAAATTTAATAAGAATTAAAAGCAATAAAAATAATTTATTTTATCTACTCTAAATGATTTATGTTTCATTTTACATATAAATTATATGTTGGAAATAAAAATATTTATTATTTGAAAAGGTAGTTATTATCTATTATTATCTACATAAAATACTAAATTAAAAATTTCCCACCAAAACTAATAAAAATTAAAAGTTATAATTATAAAACTGAAATAAAGTTGAAATTATAAAAACTGAAATAAATAACTTAAGATTTATTTTTTACAAAATTTAGTAAAAAATGAAAATTATAAAAAATAATTTATTTTATCTAGCTTAAATGATCTATCTATTTTATGTTAATAAAGAAAGAAAGTTTATTATTTAAAAAAATTAAGATTGTTTATATAAAAATACTAAATAAAATTTTCCAAACATTTAGTAAAAAAGTAAAAATTATAAGTGATAATTATTATATGATGTGTACCTGTTTTAAAATCCTGATAGCATTGATTGCAATGTTTATTTCATATAACCTACTAAAGTGTGCATTTATCATGTGTTTTTTGTTTTATTTTGCAGATAATTCAATTTTAGATTTAATATTGTTAATATATTTATGTGATTTGTATAAATTTGGTAAGGGATTCAAGCATTCTGATAATTTTCTTTTGGTATCCATACATTTTTAAAATATATCTCTATATATCCATATCCAAACAATTAAATATATATGATACATAATAATTTGATCTTTGATATAGATTTGTCAAATTTAAACTTTGAAAGGTCAACAACTTTCATATAAATAATCGATTTCCTGAAACTATAAGGTACATTTAACTAATTTAATTTGTAAACGTACAACTTTGAAATTCAGATCAGATCTTAGCACAAGGTCACAATGGCGAATATCTCCTTTGTCTTCTGTCTTTCATTGAGAGATGTTCCGAATGCAGCAATCGCCATTGATTGATAGTTGGGGTTCGGCTATGGAAAAGATATGATAACTTAAAATTTTTAACCAATCAAGTGATATCATAAATGCGTTAGTCAATCAAGTGTTACTTGTCAAAATTTATGGGTGAGTTTTGATTCGTCAAAACTTTTTTGATACCATGTTTTCTTGTATCATAAATTTTCCCAACATTAAATAAATACCTTAGTGTTAGGGGAAAGTTAAAATGAAATTTCCCCAATAGTTGGTATAAATGCCTATATGGCATAAATTGACACTGTTTATCAAAGAAAAAGAAGCCATATCAAACATCATATGTATTTAGTTTTGTTTATGTTTATCGAATAAACTTATATTTTGTTTATTGGTAAAATGGAGAAATACAATAATTATATAATTATTTATGACAAATAGACATCACATCAATTAGTACTTGACAATACCGACCGCTGGTACATATAAAAACCAAAATTAACTTTTATTCATGTGACACCAGATTATCCCATATAAAATATCTTAATCACACTATAGAATCATGGAACTAGTTAGAACGGTGAAGATAAGAAAGAACAGCATATAGCGTCTGGACAATGGTGAAGCCGATGAGGAGAATGGCATAAAAGACGGAGACGTATGACCATGGACTGTGAAAATAGGTACGTCTCAACATCGCTGGGTAACTGTTGTAGTACGTGTCCACTTGCGTACATATTCCAGATAGATACGAGTATCTTGTTTTGGACCCCACATTCTTACCCAGTTCGTTGAATAGACGAGCCACATAGCGATCGCTCTCGGAGAAATTTGAGATAATACCAGCGACACAGAGAATGCTGATATCCCTGCTTGAATTGATGAGACAACTCATGAACGCAACGTAATCTGTGAAGCAGTGATGAGCATAGCGTCCGGGATGCTGTTCAAAGGCAGCACAGTTTATGAGGAGTGTGCTGGTGAACTCGTTAATGGTTATTGGGGGGATTTGTAGCTCCCCACTTCTGAAATATGATATCATTTTCAGGAACACATATAACAGTAGTCGACTAGGGAAGAGAAGCCTGTCGATGAAGCGTGGCCGCTGGTACCAGTTCTGCCCTACTAATTTGAAGTGCATCGGACCTCTGAAATTGAGCTCCAAGAAGCTGTTGGCCTTCAGTGGCTTGAACTTGATCCCAGATGGTTGGAGCTGAGTTACACATTGGAGTTGGAGGATGGACTGATCTTGATAAGAGATTGAATCGTCTGAGGAATGGGGGTCCCGGAATACTGTATGATTCATCATCAACCCACCGAAGCTTAAGTGAAACAATTCGAGTAAATGACGACCATCCAACTTGCAGCTCTTCTTAAGAATGTCCAGGGGTCTCGGGAAGAATAAATTGAAGAATTTTAAGGCAAGCAGATTCAGAGGGTCACAATCAATATCCCTTGTAACCTTCGAGAGATTAAATAAGTCCTGGAGAACAAACCAGGGGAGCTGGTTCTCCAACTTAAGGAGGTCTCTCGCGATCACCGGGATCAAATGGGGCATCGCACATAATGGGTTATTTTCGTCCCACATACCAGTTACCCCGCGCACTTGGTGCAAGAGCTCAATAATGAAGCCACCGTCGAGTAACATCATCATCACAAACTCCGTGCTGGACATGTTGATTCTCTCGGAGTAACACTTTTTTGCTTCCATCTCTCTTATCTTCATGGCTTCAATATATACACTTAAATCCTTTGATCGCTGAAGTAGGGAATCAAGGAAATACCACTTGTGATCCTGGAATTCTACCAGGGTTTCTTTGGCCCGGTGGAAAGGGCCTATCGACACAATCTCTGGTTCGTGGGCTTTGAAATCAATATCAGCCAGGCCCTGAGGGAGTCTAAATATGCAAACCTTTTGGGATTGCTCTTCCCTTTCTCCATTTACCGTTTTACTCTTTCTTCTCAGACCTCGTTGCAAAAGCGAGTATACATCATTGTTTTCCGGCTTCTTCTTCAGTTCAGCTTCCTCATTTCCACTGTCCAACTCCACTATTTCTATGCTTGTACTACCATTATCGTGGTTGCTACTGTTGCTACGAGACTCCATTCTCTCTCTCTCTCTCTCTCTCTCTCTCAACACGGTAGGAAAAGTTGTTCAGAACAAGCGGACTCGCTGCAATTGCCCACACTATCGCACCTTTATATAACAAGATCCAATCGATAGGAAGAAGGAAGGCAGGCAGCCATGGCGAAATTGGAGAGGAAGCAGGGGAAGAATCCTACCACGTTATTGTTAGGAAGTTTCTCAAGTAACTGACTGAAAGCCCAAAGTTCTTTATCTGTTTTTCCCCTCTTTCGCCGAGGATTTCTTCCACTACTTCCTCATACCGCGTTCGCTTTAAATCAAGCACGCACTACAGTTTCTGATCAAATTCCAATTATCCATTAGGTTATTCAATTATTGAGGGAAAGTTTGTCCGCTTTTGCTCCGTTATTATTGTTTTATATTTGGATTTTGTCCCTAATTTGACTATATTTCAACTCACCCATAAAAGGTCTAGCATTCAAATAAATAAATAAGGGAAAATTCTCAATTATTTTCCCGTATCCTGTACTTTGGGCCTAGTGTTATTTTAGTCTCCAAACTTAAAACACGACAATTTAATATCCTAATTTTTAAAACATGACAATACAGTACCTTAACTAGTTGTTAAACAGCTGTGAATGTGAAGTGGTATTTGAAAAAGACACAAATGCCCGTAGAGTATTATCTAATTTTTTTATCAACCATCCAAACATTGACAAAAAATTAATAGTCTCAAATTCTTGCCTCTTCTATTTAAGAAAGTTGGGGTCACCAGAATGTCCACTCAAACGTGACTCCAATTTTCTTGAATAGACAAGTCAAATATTTGGGACTRTTAATTTTTTATCGACGTTTAGATAGTTGATAAAGAAAATTTAATAACACTTGAAAGGCATTTGTGTCTTTTTCAAATGCAATTTAACGGCTGGTTAACAGTTAGTTAATGGCAAGTAGTAGAATGTTACGTTTTAAAAGTTTGGGTACTAAATTATCACATTTTAAAGTTTGAGGACCAAAGTGAAATCAAGTCCCGAATACAGCAGGATACTAATAGGGAATTTTTCCAATAAATAAGGACCCCGGTGACAACCGTACTTCATTTGTGACAAACACCCCATCTGCCCATGACAGAATCCGTTAAATTACCATTTTTTCATCTACATTTTCTTAGGAAATTAGCTAAAATAACAAGAATTATTTTAATGGTATAAAAAATAAAGATCTTGTTTTTTCATTTCAGTAACATGAATGTATCTCTCTTCGTCTTAAAATATAAAAATTATCCGCCCCTTTCTCTAATTAATTAGGTCGAAGATATGTAGTAGTGGAGTATCACCGGAGGTATTGCAGGCCAACCGAAATCCTTCATCCTGTTGTGGATGTTAGGTTAAAAGGGAGTAAAGAGGACGATGTTTCGTTTTTTGGAAAGAGGCGAAGCCGCTGTTTAGGTAATGCTGGAGGGTATTCGAGGGCGAATTGGTGGTAGGGGAGTAGGTTTACTATGGAACTGCAAATCCGATCCAGAGGTTAGGCAGGTGGCCGGGGGATGTCTCCTATTCCTTATGGAATCGGAATTAGAGGCTCTCATGGTGATAGAGCAAAGTTCGTTTCGGGGGTCTCTAGGTTTGGATAGAAACTATCTTCTCAGAGGAACACAATGGTGGAGGATGAGGTGTTTTGGATTTCCTCTTCACGCCTGGTGTTTGGAGGCATTTAGAAAGGTGGGGAATGTTTCCGGTGGTTTCACCGGAGTTGCAAAGTGGAATCTTCGGTGGGAGGATTTAGAGGCGGTGAGGATGCTAGTGTGGGTGGGTGCTCCGCATGAAATCCCTAAAGCCCTCATTGGAGGAACCTTTTGTGTTTAGACTGATAGTTGAGGGGTCTGAGCCTCTAAAAGCAAGCGAATAGAGACTTTTTTCGAAGTTATAATTATGAGTGAGCAAAAAATATCAAAAAATTGAACCAACTGAAATCGAACCGTAAAATCGGTTAATCGAACTGTTTGAGTCGGTTTTGATTAACCAATATAGAAAACCAATTAACCGAATCTACTGGTATACATATATTTCTATATATTTCATATATTTATGTATATTATATATTTAATATTTTTATATATTATAAATTTATAAATATGTATTATATATATAAATATATATTTATAATATATGATATATTATTTATTATTTATAATATAATATTTTATACATATTTATAATTTTGTATTATATATTTATATATATTTTTATAATATATATTATAAAAATAAAAAAACTGAAAAACCAAGGAATCAGACTGATGATTAACCGAACCAGTCAACTGATTGGTTTTGGTTCAATTTCGATTACCAATTTCTAAAAATCGATAATATTAATTTGGTTAAAAGAAAGCCAACCGAACCGTAAGCACCCCTAATTATCATGGCTTTTACAATTTCTTAAATTTATGTTTTAGAAACCTCTACCATTTCTTTTACATTTATTAATTATGTTACATATCCAAAATGTTATGCCTTACTGTAATGACTGTGGAAGGGATCAGCCTTGCTTTTGAGTTAGAAGTTCACATGTGGTCGTGGCATTGCAGCACTCCCTTGCAACTCCCAATGAAACATGTGCACACTAATCATGGAAAGTAAATTAGGGCACATGGAGAGTACATCTGCCATCAATCCCTTGCCTCCAGTGAAATATAGACAAGTCCGCGATATTCATAAATCCAAGTGAACTGCTTTTATATTTGGATACATTAATCGTAGGATGGCAATTTTTTCCATCCCTCTCTCTTTCTCTCTATATATATATATCAAATGTTATTCATATTAAATATATATTTATATTTATATATATGATATTAGTTTATATTATAAGAATATCAAAATATATTTCAAATTTTAAAATTTTCTTTTATTTTTAATAAATTTATTTTTTAAAAAAAGTTATAAATTAAAAAAATTCAAGGATTTGGGTCCCTGCAAGGAACCTGACTCTATTGAGAATCAGGGATGGAGGACAACTTTTAACCCCGACGAGGATCAAGGTTTAGAACGAGAATTTATTTTATAATCAGGGTCGAGGACAAGGAATATGATCCCCACCCTATTGCCATTCCTAATTATGGAAACCATCCTATATATTAAAAAAACATGATAATTCAGTAAATTGACAATCCAAGTCTAACAGTTGTTTCTTTTTCTTTGTTATATAATTGATTATATTTAAAGGTGCCAACTAGCTTGTCAGTGGTCTCTATCTGGTTGTAGCAAAAACTTGGGATACTATCAAGCTTTCATCACTAAGGTGGGGAGGGGGGTTATGGGTTTAGGGATAGGGATGCATATAAATGGAATCAGATCAAATATAGCATATCCAAATTTGATTAATTTATATTTGAGTTTGAATAGGATCTTTTATCCATCAGATTTATGTTGGATTCAAACTGAACGGATTGCAATTGGGTATTGAATAAGATAAAATAAGTTAAATTATAAATATCAAAATATTATACATTGCTAATAAAATAAACTCAAAATGACTTAGATGGTATATTTTATAAACAAAATTAATTTAAAGCTACTTATAAAAAAATGAGCCGATGAAAATCAGTAAGAAACACAACATTAAAATCAAGTCTACTAATAGATACAATGCAAGCTTTTATGTATATATGAACAATTATATCAATCGAGTAGGATCACATAGAGGCGTCCAAAAAAAAGAGTAGGATCACATAGAAGTGGATCCATATTCAATCCAATTATAGATAATAGATCGAATTCATTCAAATAATTCGATACCAATCACTACATAAAAAAAATACCATTTACATCCCTATTTAGGGAATGGGCTACCCCTAATTGTATAGTCCCATGAGCATTAACAAGTATTAGATGTTTACCTAAACCGGAAATTGTGCCAGCCAGACGACTGGTTAGACCGATCGGGGGTAGCCCATCTCCCATTCCCTTAAGCCCCCAATCCTGGTGGCAGATCAGTTGGTAGTTGAAAGTTGAAACTAAGAATGTTAAAAAGCTTCATCTCAATACTTTTAACAAAACTTGTGCATCCCACCGGCCCCATTAATAAAATAGCTAAAAAACTGGAAACTATATATACAAAATTTCTAAGAACCAAGAATATCAATATCCATCCACCGCTGCTACTATGATCCATTCTCTCTCTCTCTCTCAGCACAGCACGGTATGAAAAGTTGTTAAAACGTAACATGCGGATAGCCCATACCTTCCAACCTTTATATATCAAGATCTGATCAGCAGCTACAGTGAAATTGCTAGGAAGTTTGCCTAGTAATAAGCAGAGGAAACTTAACAAGCACGCACTCTATTCCAATTGCAGAAACCTTCCAATGGGAAGAAGCTACCAAGAAACAACATTCTACGGGGATTTACTAGCAAAAACGCCTAGAATAGTCAGTCAACGCGAGAATGGTTTAAGTGAAGCTGCTTGGGAGGATGCTTGCGTCCTTCCTGGAATGGGGGCAATTTTTTTCTAACTTCAAAGTGTATTGTTTTGAACAAGTTTCCCTATTTCTCTCTTCCTTTTTCTACATTCTCTTTGAAATCAAATAGGCTATTTGTTTTAATTTGAAAGCTTAAAAATAAGCACTTATTTTTAAGACAATACCTACATGTTCATCCCATCCTGGTGTGATGCTCTCTCGTCCTCAACTACGACTTGATTTCCCTCACTGCTGGTGGTGTGTACTGTTTCCCTTACTCTCCCGGTGTCTATGCTGCCCCTCACATTATGCTATAGTGGATGTCAAAAGGACACATAACTGCGTTCAGTTTCTTAGGATATGAAATGATGCATCGATGTGAGTTGTTGGATTAAGTCAATTTTAGCCGTTAACTGGCTGGACCCTCCGACTATAATTAGTTGACCCTGGGGGGTCCATTTGTTTTGTCTTGAGAAAGAGCTATGCGGCAAGGAGCTCGGTTATCTCGATATGGTCGGTGAAGTTTTGCGAGGTCAGTTGTTCTTAAATGTTCTTGGTAAGTTTCCTTCCTTTCATTTCAATGTCTAGTAGTGAGTTTGAAGGGGGTCTGATAACTCTGTATTTTGATGTCTTAAGGATATTATTTCATGGGTATTTTCTGCCTTAAAATAGTCAAAGTGTGTCATTTTC